AGAGAGAGATCCTCAATTCCCATTGAAGCTCAGTGGAATCTGTTCATCTTAAATCACTCAAACTATCCGAAGATTCCAGCCTTTTGTTGGCAGAACCCGTGATACATTTACTGCAAAAAGGGAAAGGAGAAGAAAAAATTAACCTTAAAATAGTGAAATTTCAATACCGTGCTGGATGATGAACTCACAGAGAAATCCAATTGTTTCAAGCTCTAATGATTTGAATGTAGGATGTTCTGATTAATTATTATTAGTTCAAAGTCAAATTCAAAGTGTTCAATAAGGCACTAAACCTTATACAATCCAGAAGGCACAAACAGATAGGCTGGGATATTTACAGAAAACAGCTTAAGAGGTTACCTTCAGCTGAAATCAGTGAGAACTGGGAGCCTAATCTTTTGAAAACTTCACATGGCACTTTTCTGCATCTTCAAGCACCTGAGAGTGTATTTGGGGCTCAACATTTGCCTCTATTTGTACAAGTAACTTGAAGGGTGGAATTGAGAATAAAAGAATCAGACATGAAGAGAACTGATTCTTGGATAAAATATTGGAATACTAATAAAAATATACCATACAAGTTTCATCAATCAAAGAATTTTTTTTCAAGCAGCACCATAATTAGTAAATATTAAGATGACATCTTGTGTAGATCAATAAAACATGGTATAACAGGGGAGGACAGTATAACGAGGAAACTAAGGATGACAGATATTCAGCCTGGATAGAAGCAGGTTGAACAGGGAAGGAACAAGAAGTTACAGCAAAGGGTCTATTAAATATGAACTCGCATGTCAGACACAGGTGAAAACTGTTGCCACTGGAAAGGAGTGTCTTGCATTGAAAAAGGGTTTATTAGGCAACCTAATAGATCAGCCACCTCTCACAGATATATAACAGATCAAGTTGCATACATCCAATTTATATAGGTAAGTATAAATTACATATAAATGTAACAGCCATTTGCCTTTCTTCGGAATTGTTTCTATCTTCAGAACAGCATCTTCTACTTAGTGCTGGCCACTGTTGTTCAAAGAAGAATCTCTGAGGATTTTTCAGAGAAAAGAAACAAGCTTATTAAAAAACTGAAGAAAACAGAGCTGAAAGAAGCCACAGTAACTGTTTTCAGACATAGAGAGAAGACATTGTTATCCACTAAGAACAGAGCAAGGACTTCTGTTCTTAGACTGAAGCAGAGGAAATTCACTATAAGTAACTGGAAAAACCTGAAAATAAAGTTTTTGACAAAAGAACCAGCTTCTGCAAAAGACTGTAGGATCAGTGTCTCTGGGTACATTTAAGGTTGCATTAGTCACTGATCCAGCAGAGATCATAAGACGGTTTCGGTCGATTCTCATTTTTGGACAAGGAATGGATCTAAATACATATCTCAGTCTCAGAGGGACCATGAATAAAGGATACAATGCAAACATAAGTTGTTATGCTAACATTGCATTTTATACAGGAATAAAACTAAAAGGAGGTAAGGACATATTGGTTAAAGGAAAAGAGAGAGAGAGAGAAGCAACTCATTTAGAGATGGGCAAGGGAAATCTCCCATAGATGGAGGAACAGAAAACAAAGGTAGAAGTAGGTAAGTGTGTAGGGAACTATCACTGGGAACATGAATAAAAGTAGATACATGTAAATAAGAATGGTCATGAATGACGTTAATAACTCCTGGAGATTCAGGACGAACTAACGAGTCTGGCTGAAGGAAGTAGACATCCAGAGTCATGAACCTCTGCCGCTACAACTGATTGCAATTTTTAAAACAGAATATATTTCTAGATAAAACTTCACATAAGCTCCCCCTGCTTCGCCAGAATGAAGGAATAATAATAATAATAACAATAATAATAAAGTAAATATAAAAATAGCAAAATGATTCTCTAAGACTGCAGACTAGCAGGATAGTTGTTCCTCAGCTGATCATTTGACAGCCACATGACATCACCACACAACATCAATTCTTGTTACATACATAGGCATTCATACATTCATTCACTCTGTTCCTTCTTTACAAACCACATGCCAAGTTCATCTTGAGCAGTATATTCAGCTTCTCTGGAGTAGCATCAGAGGCCGTGCTAGCCAGGTACTTAGGCTACATTTGGGGTCTGCTCTGATACAGTAGCTGACCATCCCGCTGTGATACCATCTCCTGTCTATACTCACCTTACACCAGGTTTCCCTGCCACTTTTCATATCAAGGCTTCTTTCCCAATGGAGCTCAAGGCACAACACTGACCAAAACAACTGGGTAAAAATCTGGCTAACCCATTTCCATTTGCCAATTTAATGAAATAAAGCATTTCAAGATTTTATTAGCAATTTTATTAATGCTTTGAATGGCCAAATATTTCATTCTGAACTTCTGATACAGTATATACTCAATAAAACCAACTGAAGTATGTTAGAATATTTAATTCTACAAAACAGGCAAACAACCAAACAGAGGTTTCGTGCTCTCCTAACACCATATGACACAAAATTTGAAAGCTTTGAAAACATCCCTGAGTATAGAGGTTCCATATTTCCAGTCACCTTTAATACTGGGATGAACTTTAATATTGGTGCATAGCTGAATGTTTCTTCCACCAAAGGCAAGCCTTTTCAGAAATAACGTTGCTATTTTACAACACAAGGGGCACTGTCAGCTGGATATAACTCTTGCATCATCTTACTGACACACAGGCTAGGTATTTCACATAACCTTCTTACTCCTGATGAAGCCTGGTGATATACTAATTTCCTACAAATATGAACGCACAACTGTGAAAAAAGGGCATTCTTCACCACAAGTCATTTTTGTGGTCATACACTTAAATACCAAAATTAGTTTTAGATAGGCTTATGCATTCTTGTTTGTGGTCACATTCCAAATTCAAATATCAGAACACATGCAGAAAAGGCAACCTGGAAGTAAATTAAAGAATATACAGAAAAAGTAAAGTGTCCACCTACTAAAGTAATTATTCATACCAATAACGTAATTGTAGGAACCATGTTCTCCAAACCATGGAACAGATTCGCTATTTTTGACCTGCATATGGCCATGTAAAACTAAACTATCTGCCCAAAACACCTCTACCTGGAGTACTGCAAACCAATATCTAACCTACCATGATCAGATTGATATTTACTTATAAAATTATTTAGCAAATCATTTCAAATAAAAAAATCATTAAAGAAATCCTTTACTGGCGTACTGATCACCCAAGCAGGAAAAAGGTCTCAGAACGGACAAGCTAATTATTCACTATGAATTGTATGCAATATTTCTACAGAAAGCTAACATTGGCATAGTATTATTTCAGGAGGATGGCACTGCAACTGGGACAGTTCTTCTGCTCCACAGTCAGGTAAGACTTCTGCTATCACATAACCCTCTTCTCAGCTATCTACAATGGAAAAGGAGGAGTTACTGTGTAAAGTCTGGATTCCAAAACTCCTTATGACTCACCCTCTGACTATATGTTTCTTAAAAATGAAGGGTATCAGCCAAATGAAATAGGAAAGTTTATACTTCCAAAACCAAAGAGGAAATTTATGCTCCAAAATGTAAGCCAAGGCAAAATTCCATCAGTACAACAATGTACCAGAACATAGACTTCAGCTCAGATTTCTGCCGCCTGCTTTGGTATCTTAGATGTTTTATCTACTCTGTTCAAATCACTACTATGTGTGTTGTGAGTTCTCTGTAAGATCCAAAAGCAGAGCAAGATCAGACGATAAAGAGTCATTATGTTCAAAATGCGTACATCATTGGCAAGTGTCTTTGGATTTAGAAAGATGTTCCAAAAAGTGATTAAGGTAATTATGCATATACTAGCAGAGAAAAACTGTGTCTTTCTACAAGATATACAGTGGCTCCTAGATAAGTCTTAGAAGACATATTTTAGTTCTTCCAACATGGAACGACACCTATATAACTACAGTAGAAGTCTCCCAACTCTTCAAATCCTAAGGAGCTCTTCATCCTTGATTATGTTTAGAGACTCCCATTCATCTGCAAGTCTCCCTATATCTACTCATTCCCAGCAGCCCTTATAATATTCACATTGCTGAAGTAATATACCAAACATGTCATATTGTGCTATGCACGGTCATCTGGTCTTGCTATAAAAGAATATGATTTAATCATATGGAATATAATTTTCATTTACCACACATGCACCATATTTCTTCATGTTTTTAAAAATTAGCAGAAAATACCCAGAGATTGACATAGTAATGGTTGGTCTTTTAAGGTCATAGAATCATTAAGGTTAAGGTTGGAAAAGACCTCCAAGATCATCTGGTCCAACCCTCCTCCCCCTACCACCAATACTACCCACTAAATACTTACCTGTGTCAGTAACACGGTAAAATAGTTAAACAGTGGAGAAAGGGGAGTTCTAACTTTCTCAAAACCACCAAACATTTTTGGGTCACAGAACTGAAAACTTCCTGTTATTCTCCTATTTCTATTATTTTTTGTTAGGTTATTGTCTTGTAGTATAGAAGGCACTCTAATAATACTCTTCGCTGCACAAACACACTGCAGTAGGCCTTAAGATAGGAAGTCTCAAAAGCATGTAGGTAAAGATGAGTGTCCCTCATGGAAATGACATAGCGAAGCAAAAAAAATGAATATAAAAAGAAGAAGAAATGCACCAAGTAGTAGACCTTAAAAAATACAGTGTGTAACAAATATTGTACTCCTTCATACTAGGACTCTGATATCTTTTTTCGGTTTGGGCAATGCTTTACTTCACCTGCAGTCCCACTGAAAGATGTCAGACAGTATTGTCATACTCAAGGGGAATATGTATCAAAACAGAGCATTCCAGTTTTGTTTGTTTCTTAGGAGGGCTCATCTCCTGATGATGCCACAAGAGTCCTTTCTGAATAAGGGATGAGAATAAGACCTTCAAAATTTAGCCCAGTGAGATTTTAAAGGACTGAAGGAAAGAGAATCACCAAATATATGAAGAGATACAACAAGGGTGAAGTACCTTTGTCGGAGATTTTTGAGTTATGCTTTTGTTTGTAACTATCTGAAACAGAGAAAGAAATAGAGGGTGAATCTTACATGGGGGAAAGGATGACAAAAGGCCAAGAAGCCAGAAAAAAAGGAGAAGGAGAAAGAATGTAAGAGATGACTTGTTATAGCGCAAAGGGAGGTGGAGTCTTGCCGAGGACTTAATTATATTTCCTTCATGCAAAAACACCAAGAGCAGCAGCAGCAGGTTGCAAACATGCAAGTCAGAGAGCAGCAGAATACTTTGCTGGAAAAGAAAAGATGAACCCTGAGTGCACCGAGCTGGTAGGACCAGGCTGGAAGCAAAGTCATTTGTCTGGGTGCTACTTACTGTCACAGACATAGGGTTTGTCATGATCATCCTGGGAGGCAGCATCATTCCGTCTCCTGCCACCTCCAGATCCCCGAGCCTGCAAGGACAAGAAGAATGTTAACATTATTCCATTGCCCCTCGGGTCTCCTTGTGCCCCTCACCCTCCTATGAAAAATGTGCAACATAAACTAAATAAATCCTCAGCTTCCACATAGGTTTATCAAGGGTAGGCTTGACCCTTCAACTCCTAAGATATGCACTATGCAAATGGATCTCATAATGCAGCAGAGATCCCCTCCACAGATAACCCAAACTGTTCATCCATAGCAGTATGCTACTGCCAGCACATATTCAGTCAAGTATCATCAAACTTTCATTTCTGAAGATGTCCAAATACCTGTCATACTGAATATGAATGAAAAAATAGATGAACAGGTGGTAAGGGATAAATATAACCTTTAAACCAGCCAGAAAGCAGTTAACAAACAAAGCAGAGGTAAAATGACTACCGTATTTTCAGAGGTGATGGTGGGCTATTTTGTTTTGTTTTCTAGCTGGAAAGCAATGTTTCAAGGGCCTTCTGACTGGGACAACGATACCATGGTTCACTACAACACTGGAGCTTAGGTCAGTTAGTGGAAAAGATTAGGTAGAATGGCTACCTGCAATAGTGGAGAACTGGAATTACCCAGAAAGGTCTCTGCAGTTTTGTGTTCCTAAAACACAGCAAGTTGGCAGCCCTGGAAAACCTCTGTCCACAGCCCACACTGCTCTGTCTGAGCTTGAGAGGTAAGAGTGGAGACTTGGTTCTGACCCTTCTCAGGCCAGACAACAACAAGGGGGCAGTTCATATCTATCCAACAGCAGCAGTTTTGATGTGGAACTGGAAACTGAGCCTAGGCCTTCAATTCTTTAATGATAGTTAATGTACAGTCTGCAGATGACAATAATTTTAGACTTGATCTTCATATGAGGAAAGTGATCTGGAGGTGGATGGCTACATAGCCCTTTAGTAATTCTGCCAGCTAATCTATTTCCTGGCTAAAAGCAACAAAATTGTTTCTGCTGCACATCTTATTAAACTGTTGATGTCTCTCACCCTAGGCAAGGCCACCTGACTCAAATCTTTCAAGCGTTTGCATGTGAAAATAAGAAAGGAACAGAGCTTTATCAAGTAAAGCTGGAGAAGATGTAGAAATTCTGAGAATATCAGTGCCCCAGATACTAAGCAGTCAAATAATCTCTGTCCCTCATCTGTGGATTTTGGACTGAACTAGCAATATTTGAGCTGCATTCCACTGGACATCTAAAGAGAAGGAATAAGGAACAGTTTTACACTCGCCTACCACAGTCTGTCAAAACAGGGATTTACAAAAACATCATGTATTATTTCCTCGGGATTGCTCAGGTCTAACTCTTAACACAGTCCTGAAGGAGAGACATGGATTTGCAGCTCTCTGGATGGTGTAAATACTATTAGGTATGACAAGTACAGCTTTGCCTTCTGCCAAGACCTCTGTGCAAATCAGTACACACATGCAAAGTGAGATTTGTAAGGGTGAACTGAAAAGCAGTTTCACCCTGGAAAAGGACCCATCAACCATTGTTTGTTGGAAGCTACTTCACTGACCATATCACACAAAAATCAGCTTATTAGTCTACAATATTTTTATATCTGACTGCCAGCTCTGTAAACCCCCTCTGAGCTATGAAATCAATCCCAGGCTAGTTCCTTTCTTCCATCACCACTACAAAATGTGCTTCAAGCTGAATTTAGGTCTGTGGCAGCTCCTGTACAACCCTCAGCTCATCACAGTTTTCACAGAGACAAGTGATTGGCCCTTAATAAATATTTCTGCTGGTACCTGGATTAGAATCCCATTTCCTTGTCCTACTAGGCTGCATTGGCTTTTCAGGGCTGTTAAAAAGCTGTAAAGCTTGTGGGTTTTTTTGTCACTAGTCAGTAGGTTTGTCTGTTTATACACTGAAAACAGGTCTGTTGAGTAAGAAGGTACAATTTTTACATTGACACCTCTCAGAAGAGGATGGCAATTTAAAGTCTGCTGCTCAGAGTTTCACTAGTCTTGCAGCCAGCTGTTTCCCTTCAAACAGTTCTCTACAGAAAGGCAAGGGTACAGCATTCATGTCATGACCACATGTCAGATATACTTTTTCATGCACTGAACACACTGGGAAATTTTTCAAGTCAGTGACTTTCACTGGGAGCTGGGCTCCTAAACACCTTCAGTGCCTTTGAAAATGTCCTATGGGATATTCAGCTGAGGAACACACAGTTGTACAGGTGCAGCTGCGTTCCTCTCATACCACCTAACAAACTCTCTCTCCTAGCTCCTACCACATTTTCCCTGTCCAGCAAAGATACTAAAACCTTCTGCAAATCCATCTCTTCATCTTTCAGTGTCCTTTCTAATGCTCCCATGGTCTCAGGTCTAGCTTTGAGAGGGTAGCTAACTTAGCAGCTGCACCAAAGGCTCTCAACTGAGTGCCACGTGCTTGCTGTCGGCTCTCCAGTCCGTTGCACTCAGTCATCTTCATTCTCCTGAATGAAGACTGTCTTCATTCTCCTGACAGGATGCAGCAAAGACTATGAGACTTGACATGTGAGGCCTGGGAGCTATGGCACAGCAGCCTTGAAGCAGTCCTGAAGCAGCCAGAGAGAGTAGCCAGAGGGACAGATGGAGAAGTTGAGGATTAAAAATAAAATTATGCTGTAGGAAAAGGAAGAGGCATGTGCAATTTGGAATGTCCAGAGCAGTAGTTCTGCTGCATTCATTCTAGATCAATGCCTCCAGCCCTTATTCCTTCTCTGAATCCCCAAAGGCCACACTCTGCAGGATCTAGTTTCCTATGGACATCCTTTCCCCACTTTTGTTCTCTAAAAACACCCTGACAACCTCCTTCCCAGAAACGGAGTGCTGCTTAGGTTTCATATCCCCTAATTTGAAATCCTCAGTCACGATTCCCTACACTGAGTCAGGCTAACATTATAAAAGGGTTGCTTGAAAAGCTGCAAAACACTCATAACCAGACGCAATTCAGGCTTCAGCTCAGGCTTACCAGTTTTCAACAGCTAGGGTATCTGGCCCTAATTTTGAAATCCTAATTTATACCACATTTTACTTTGGTTATTGATGCCATTAAATAAAAATGAAAATTGCTCAAAGTATTTGGCACTCTTCAAACTTCTCTTTTTTTTCTTTTTTTTTCTTTTTTCTTTTTTTTTTTTTTTTGTACTGAATGAAGCCAGGGCACTAGCAGAGTGGGTGTTAGTTAGCAACAAAAAAGGCTGTTCCTGTTCTTAATAGGGGGCCAGTTCTAGGGCAGAAAATAAGTAGTAAATTTACACTTTAAAATGAATGGGACATCTACTACCCTCCAACTCCTCTCCCTACAGTAGCAGAGAAAAAAAATGAAACAGTTTCCTGAGCAGGGGAGAACAACATTGCACATAACAGTAACTTCAGAACCCTGTTTGTGTAGGCCTGGGATATCTGCATACTGCTAACTCCCTTCTCCCAAGTAGTATGTTTCTTCTAGCTGTTCACTCTCCTTCACTTACCCTAACCAGCATGCGCAACTTAAGTGAGGGCAGCTTATAAGAAAAGAGTTGTTAGCCTGGAATATTAGTTGATAGCTACAGTCAAGCTTGTGTGCACATATCGACTCTAACTCCTGGTTTTGGTTACTGGTTCATACAAATTTTCTGAAACTTACATTTTTCTGGAAAATTTTTTTCCAGGTGGGGGTCTTTGGCTAAGAAAGAAAGAAAGAAAGAAACTGGTTCAGGTGATTTTGAGAATAAGGAAGGTGAAATATATACTTATCCAGTTATTAAAGTGCTTTGATCTTATATTAAAGGACTTAAGCTCCAAAATAAAGAGGAGCAGAAAACTGAAACAATACAACAACAGAAGAAACCAAAAGAGAGGGTTTGATGCATAAGTACATTGTAGGTATTCAATGTGGTTTCATGTCTCTCTCTTATTCAAAAGCTATTATATCCTGCTCATTTGGCCTAAAATGTGGCCCTTCTTGCTTGACTCCTATAAACACATCAAAAGGTACTTCTAGAGCTCCTGTGCCCCTGCAGCATCCACTGGAACCAAGGAGAGATGAAAATGCTTGAAACTTCTGAGAATTGTGTTCCCTTTTATTTAGATGCCTAGCTTCAGGGGCCACAATTGAAAATATTGATTCCAAGTATTAAAATGTTGATTTCATTACTTAACTGGCACCCTACTGAAATTGTGAAAAGACATCTTAGGTAAGAGAAGGGACACGGACTCCCCTAAAGATAAAATATTGCCCATTTTAAGCAAATGGATTATTTGCCATTGGGTTCAAGAAGGCCAAAATATCAGCCACAAAGTGCTACCTTAGAGAAAGCTGCAAGACATAATAACACAGTTCAAGTTACTCTTACTAACACTTTTTTTTTTTTTTGGCTCTTGTGACTGAATATATTGCTTTTTTTTTTGTAATTAGTAAATGCTGTTTTAAAGTAAGAGCATTGTAATAGCAGGATGTCACCATAATTGTTACAGTTCACATTAAAATTATAAATACAGCACTATAATAAATGCACCCCAACTTTTTACTCTCAAAGAAGTCTTTTTACTTGATAATTTGCAAAAATAAAGTAAAATATATTTAAAAATCTTTGATGGTATGCCTGAAAATTATCTACATGATTATCATTCTCATATATCCATGGATATACACTTTGCATATATAATACATGTGAAAAATAAACACTAGAAAGCAGAGGTTTGCTCCCTTCCTTCCTATTCCAGTACATTCTCAACATACCCGTCCTCTAGGCCTGTTCTTTCGTTTTGGAATATCTTCTTCCAAATCCTCTTCCTCATTTACTTCATCTGCATTTTCATCGTTTTCTAAAACCCTCTGTGGTTGAACAATAAATAGGAATGGTTAGAAGAAAAGAAGATGACACATACAAACAACTGCTGCTTTTTACCACAGAGACTGTACATTATTAAATTACAGTTGATTAATGATATAATGCCAAATCAGATCCCAGAACCCCTATTTCTTTCTGCTAAAGCAAAATTTGCTTTCCCTTCCACCGTCAGTTCTCCAAGGAGTTCTTATTAAAAAATACCACTGATATCAGTCAACCAAGGAAAAAAGGTTCCCAGGAAATAATAGTGGCATTGCTGAGTGTTGATGCCCCAAGACAGCACAAGTAGTATCCTCATGCAGGCCCTTTCTGGGGGATGGTTTGCATGACTTTTTGATTTTTGTTTCTTGCAACTTAAATTGTTTTGTTTTCCTCTAATGTTGAGCATGCACTTTAAGAAGGTAGAAGTCAGTACTTGTTCTCTCCTTGGCAGCTTAGAATTTTATCTGTTTTGCAAAAATAGAGAAAATTCCTCTATATATTCCATCATCTTTAGTGCAACTAGAAAGTCACATCTTTCAGGGCTTACACCATAGGCTCTCTAACCTGGAAGCAAGGGTCTTGCTGTATGAGAAGGCTGAGGAAGTATAGGTCTCATTGAAGGTAATAGGAATAATAGCTTCTTCAGTTAATTATTTAATAGGAATAATAATGAAAACAATAACAATAATTCATCATCTCACATAGCAGTCAGGGAATTTCAACCCTTTTCCCTCAATCTTCTGAAATGTAACCTCTAGAGAACAAACCCAGGCCAGACACCCTGAAAACATGCACAAATCGGACATAGCACAGACAAAGGCAAGACAGACCATCACAACACTAATGTGGAAAGATGTCTTGCTGAAATCCTCTCAACCTTTGGCATCCCTGTAGCAAACAAAGAAAAGGGCCCCAGCCACTCCTGCCATTCATGATATGGATGCCATTTCATAAGGGACTACTCTGGAACCACTGACTTATCTTTGCCACGACACCATCCAGTTAAACCACAACAACATTTAGCCAGGATGCAGATTCAAAAGTGTAACTTGAAACTGATGGGGAGGTGTTGCTTGTTTGTTTGTTTTTTAATCTTTCACTGTGTTTGTCACTTCCCAATAATTTCTAGTTAACAGATATTGGAGAGCCAGCAGAGGGAGAACAGGAGCAAATCATAGAGGCTTTGTCTCCTTCCTACATACCTCAAGTACTGAACTCTGCATTTGTGGAAACAAGAGAGACTTGACTTAAAGAAAAAGCCTGCACTTGGAAGACCAGCCATAAAAGTTTATTCTTATTTTATCAGCCATGTTTTTAAGACTAATATTGGACAGTGTCCTTTTTAAAAAGAATAGGTAGTTCTTTGAACCTGGTAGAAAATCTTCAATTGATAAAAAACAAAAAGAGCAAAAGCCAGATGAAGAACTCTTCATTTGAAGAGTGAATAATTCTTCATCTGGCTTTTGCTCCTTTTATTTTTAAATCTCGGGAGGCTATTAATGAGATTAGACCATCATGAAATCTAATTTCACATAATACTGGACTTCTAAATACTAGAGTGTGGAAGAGTTAAGCAAGTTCCAGTTCTACATACAAAAAATGTTTTTTCAAAATTAAGGTATTTACGTACATCGATCAACTAGGTCTTAGAAAACTGGAGCACTCCGGAAATGTTGTACATGAGGAGACAAGTGCTATGTAAGAGAATATGCAAGCTTACTGATATGAATTTAAATTTTCATGGTGCTTGATGTCCTAAATGTTCTCAAAAAAAAAAAAAAAGGCCACCACCATATTGCATGTGGAATAGGAAAGAACTAGTTTATACTAATAATGCTACACAAGAGCAGTTAAGAAAAATATCACAAACCACTTTCTTTATTTTAAATTCCAGCATTAATTTGAGACATGGAGAATAAGTAACCATGTGTGAATTTGATGATACTGCCAGTATAATGGCTTTAATTCTCAGTAGAAAGGGCATAGCCTTTCTGATGCTTGGTCAAAAGGCTATTCTGTCTTCTCCAGCAAATGATGGAGACACACATTCAATACTAATTTATAGCAGGACAAAATCCTCAACTCTGTTAAATACCAGCTGTACAGCAGACCCCAGTGACTGCATCTATTTAGCAGGGGCAACCCTTACCGTTTTAGCAAAGTAACTGTTATTTTCCTATTCTATCTTTCTAAAAGAGTTTCCCAGCCCAATGTACTTCAGCACAGCTAAGCACCAAGTCTTCTACTAACAGATACTGCGAGTTTGAGGGTGGTATGTGACTGGGACTGAGGTGGGAATTACAACTGTGTCTATCCCACCTGCTCATGTTACCACCACTGAACCTGGGTCCTTTCAAGTTACGGCATAGAAGAGCATGCAAAGTAACAAAAGAGATATCTGTATTCTCTATTTGTGATATGGATGAAGGACCCTGATCATGAGTTTGATCTGTTACAGTCTAGCTGTCAAGTGATGAAATACACACCGAAAGCTGGCCACTAGTAAAGGCTCCAGTAATCATTGTGCAGACTGAATCCAGCTAAGCTGTGCTTGCATAAGAAACAACAGCAAGACATGCCTTTTGTGGCTGTTCTGATGAAACTAGTATATGGGTGACAGGTCACAGCTTGGGCAGTTTAGCGAAAAACTCATGGTATGTTGTGGTATCCCCTCTCTGCTCTTTAATGCCCAGACTTGTGCTAGTTCTACCATCTCTGAAGTCTCTTTCCTTGGACTGATGTTGGGGATAATTTGGGAGCTCATTTTGCAAAATAACATCCAAAGGCACCTGTTGATCTCATAATGGTGCTGCAATGTGACTTCTTGTGACTTTGAAAGTAGATATGAACAGGGCTTTAGGGCTCTCACCTCATTAGAGCCAGATACACCACTGAGAAAGGAAACACATATGGCACCTTGTGCAGAACTCTTCCCCACTCAGTGAACATGGGACACTTCTTCTCTGATGGTGCTCTTTTACCTGTGTTACTGGGAACAGGAGACCTAATTTACTGCCCTTACATATGTGAAATTTCAGTGGAGCAGGACTGATCTCCAAGTAATATCGATTTGAAGCCCCACACTCTTCTGTTTCATTTGGCATGGGGTTGGCCACTCAAAATTTTACTAATTCCAGGTATAGATGCCATATCTTAAACTAAATGGTCCTAAACTAAAGACGGTCTTAAACTACAAGAGGATAGATTTAGACTAGACATTAGAAGAAAATTCTTCACTGTAAGGTAGTGAAGCACTGGAACAGGTTGCCAGGAGAAGGTGTGAATGCTCCATCCCTACAGGTGTACAAGGCCAGGCTGGATAGGGCCTTGGCCAACCAGATTTAGTCAGTGGCATCCCTATCTAGTGGCAGGGGGAGTGGAGTTAAATGATCTTTAAGATCCCTTCCAACCCAAGCCATTCTATGATTCTGTGATTCTATGATCTTGTATTTCAGCCAAAATAACCAAGTTTGATGCATTGCCAATGGTTCTTCCTAAAAATCACTAACAGAGAATCAAATAACACAGTGGTGTTTTACCATCACCAAAGATTTGCTGCTGTTCCCATGGGAGAGGCCTGTTTTCCCATCAATTTAAGATGTCTTTATAAAGTAAGATGCCCTTATATAAGAAATATTTATATTAGCTGACTTCATTCTGTGACAGACCCACAAATGTGTTTCTACTTTTAACAGTTTTAAAGGATGAAGTGGAATTTTGACAAATGTAACTTTCAAACCATAATGCATGCAAAGAAGCAATAGTTCTCGTACCTGCATCACTAATGATAACTGAGATAATTAACATTAGCATATTTTTAATTATTTATTTTGTTTGCATACTTCCTGAAGACTTGTCAGTGTAAGCAAAAACAGACACAGCAACAACATATTTTTCTTTATAGTCAGCAGCTGTGAATACAACTTCAAACCCATGTCCAAACTCATTCTAAATCTGAGGCAATAAAACTCGGTTTATGGTTGTGACCCATCTCTGCTTGGCCATTCCATGTGTTACTGTCTCATACTGCTGAAAATCCCAACACACAAGCCACGCAGAACACAGCCAAGTGACCAAGATTCTTATGACAGGAGAAGTGTGTGAGATCCCAAGTTCATTTTGAGCATCACAGTATAGCACAATGGTTTGATAACATTTTGACAGTAGAATGACACAACTATCAAGAGATGAACTATTCTGTCACAGGACAAAAATTGCTAGGCTTAGAGACAAATTGTAAAATTCAGCACTGCTGTCAAGGCACAGGGATCTCCTTTACCTGGATTTCTTGTATAGTGTCTTCCTCTTTAGTGTCCGTTTTTTTCTCTATTCCCTCTCCACGTAGCAAGGCTTCCAGAGTTGTACTTTCTGATGTGAACCCATCTTTTTTCAGAGGCAGATCAACTTCTGAAAAACAAAACACACTGACTGTATGTATCTCCCCCCGGGCAGCTAACAAGCAGAAGGACAGAGCTGGCAAGCAGAAGACTGACAGTCCTTCAAGCTTGTTTCTATCTTGAAGGAGAATTCTTCAAGTTCTTTTTTTAATCTCTATGGATCCCCTTATAGGATTCAATTCTATTTTGCTGAAAATTTGCTATCTTTTCAATTACTGTTTGCTTACAGGAAAATAAGGCTGGGAACATTGTATCAAGAGGAAATAAAAGGGGGAAAAATGTTTTCTCTTTATGTAAACTCCTTATGCTTCAAATAAAAAACAAAACCAAGGCTTTCCTAGACACTGAAATAACAAATATGAAGATCTGATCTTTTGAAGTTATGAAGTAGTTTAGTGCAATTTAGCATCTGGCACAGTTTATGTAGAACAGCTACAAGCAGCACTTCCCTACAGCAGGGCATGTTCTGCATGTGGCGAACTGGAAACCTAGTATGTGGGGCTAATGCTGAGATGCTAAATTTGATGCTAAATTAATGCTAAAATTGAAAAAAAAAAAAAAAAAAAAAAAAAGACAAACAAACAAACAAAAAAGGATGTGCCTTGAATTTTCATTGAATATCGACTCCCATACCCGGGTTGATTTAAATGGGATGACACAAATGAAAAACCATCAGCCAACACAGTTACAAGTGCAGAATGTAAGCCCACAGAACAGGATGAACCTCAGCCACTGCAGTAAGAACCCAAGTGTGGCTCGGGGGGAGGCTTGGGGCATGGGACTTTAACTGGCAAAGAGGGTTTATGAGGAAGCCTGATGCAACTTGCCATGCAAGTGAAGGAACAGAGCATACCTCCCCTTTGGAATTCTGTCACTGGATTATGAGACGGTGCAGTAGGCATGCAAATACAACATGTTAATTTTAGCAAGATGTTAAAATACACCCAGGAAAGAATTACATTTTCCTTGTAGATCTTGGCTTCTATCCTACTTGTGTAGGTGTTCATTCAGAGCAATCCTGTGGTAGGGAGACATCCTGAATGTCTCTGCTGACAAGGCCAAGGTGTGGATTTCTCATGTACTCCCTCCCTTCTAAAATGAATTCCTTCTTCTTGGCCAATAGATTTATAAAGTAATAATGCACAGGATCAATGCTTACAAATCAGCATCTGGTGTGCTGATTTCACAGCTCTGTCCACTTTTCATCTTTTAGAACTGTCTTGTGTTCCCCAGTCTGCTTGAAGCTCCCTGCTTTTCTATCACCTTGAGTTGTAAACTCTGCAGGGCAGAAATTCTTGTGTTTATAAAGCCTCAAATCACTCCTGCAATCCAAATAATGAATGAACACTTCCACCTGGGACAGTAAAGTGTAATCTGCTTCCTGGGGGCAATTGTGTCCCAGGAATATGTTTGCTCTATATGTGAAAACCTCTAAGCCAGCAAATGATTCAGGGTCCCTGATCAGTGCTTCCACAACATGCTTGCTCAAGTCTTCTAAGTGAGAGAACACTGCTCAGCCAATAACCACATAAAATCCAGCAAAATTCCAGCAAAAGCTATTCTATTCATGGAGGGAGAGGCCGAGTAAACCCAAACCACTGGGATTTTCAAAGGAAACTCCCAGGACAGCCAACACAATGGGAAGGGGTCAACAGTGAATTGACCCCTTCTCATTGCAAGGAGGTCTGTGCAATCAGGCCTCTGTTTTTAGCATCAAGCTCTGCACACCTTCCTCCATTATGCCACTTTCTCCACTTTTTCCCCTTTCTGAGCTATAAAAAAACTGACAGAGAAGTCAACAGAGAATTCCCTGTATGAACACCTAGTACCTCCCTCCGGATGCTAAATCCAGACATTTCAATAGAAAGAAAGGGTTTTAGACTCAATTTATGTGCAAGTCACAACATTTGAATCTAAAGCCACTAAGGAACCTCCAAAATCATCTCTAGCTGCGTGTTCACCTTTGTTTCAAAGTCCTGTGCTTAGGTGCAAAAGGGCATTTGTTTTGCATTGTGAACCTTGCAGGACTGTAAAATCCAACAGGTCATCATACATTCAGCAAGAGAAGAAGCTTCAAGCAAGCTCAAGGGCATCAGTAACAAACATTGCTTCACTGTGACAAGCTATGCCTGCCTCTGATATACTCAGCAAACAAATGCATTTGCAAAGGGAATGAGCAAGGAAGGGAGGGGATAAGTAAAACATATATGAAAGGAAAACTAGTTCCTGTTTCTTCCAGAGATACTGAACATTAAGTCAGGGGAAAAGGTAGGCTTAAAGATAGCTGCCCTTTTTTGACCTTAAAAAAGCACAGTTGTTCTGTGTGGTGCTGCCACCTCCCACCAGCAACACTCCAGGAGGCTTTTCATGCGAAACTCTCAGAGCATTTTTTAATTATTAAATTTAACATCCCACTGACAAGGCAGTATAAGGTAATACTTTTATTCCCAGTTTACTGTTGAGGAGATTGAATAACCAAGAATTAAATTAGAAAGGAGGAAAACTGGGGAAAAGAAACTCAGGGCAGTTGCCTCCCATCTGCCCACTAAGCTAACAACTATTCAACCGCTTTATTTCCTTCTCTGCTGGTAGATTCTTGAGGCCATTTTCATTCCTAAGCAGCTCTACAAAGTGGGAAATGGCACAATCTCCTCCCTATCTTATCTGAAATGTAAACTTTACAGCATATAAACCTACAAAGGTCCATAGACAACACCTTTGTAATGAATTCAGTCTCTGTAATGAATTCAATCTTTCTTGGAAGATGGCTGGTCTATAAAAGGATACAGTAATGAAGTCAGGAAATTTTATTTCCAAAACACTTTTTGAATCCTCAGAGATAAAAACCTCCAAAAATCTAAAAGACGGTTCAGTTTGCCTAGAGAAATGGTTAAACGCTATCTAATAGGTCAGTCCTGAGGGATAAACACAGTATCACTTCCAGTTATCCTAAATCTAGGTCCTTTGGAAATACACAGAATAGCCCATCCCTTTCTGAATTTTGATACACTTTTGTTCTCAATGTCCTCCTACCAGAGTGAGTTCAACAGTTGAACCTATGGCTTGAAATAAGGAGTGTTTCGCTTTATTTATTGCTTGCTTAGCAGATTTATTTATCTTCTTGCTGTTAGATAGGGAAAATAGAAGTTCCTGACCGAACTTCTTTTCACATTTCTTTTTATTCCTCTCCTTTTGAAGATAAACAGTCACAATCTTTTCCATCTCTCTGCTGTGAGAGCTTTTCCATATGGCTTTGTCATGTTAGACCTCTCTGAACTTCCTCTCATTCTTCAATAATCTCCCCAGGATAGACCAATACTGCACCTGATATGTTCAGATGAAGCCACAGCCCCCATTTAAACAAATGTATTACAATATTCTTTATATTACCCACAGTATTATCCCTCGGGCAGCATCCAGGGTCTTAACAGTCTCCACAGCTGCATGCTAGCCAGGATTATGAACCTTGTAACACGGACAAAAACTTCCAGCAGGCAATACTTTCAACACACAGGTAACAAATTAAAATGTCTCTCCCACTGCCCATTCCCAAAGGATATTCAGATGCCCCCCAAAGAGGCCAGCACAGACCTCACTAGCCACGACTGCTCAAGAAAACTTTGCACTATGTGCAGACCTTTGTACTTTACAACGTACTCCCTCTCTCTCCAGTTTTTTCATTACTATATTGCACAACACTGGACTGAACACCAAACCTTGATGCACCAGCTGCTAGCCTTTTTCTATAAAATTCTTTGTTTCATTTTTTCTTTGCTTCATATTTTATTCTAGAAGTCTTGATCTGCAACAATGCTTTGTTCCTCTTTGGAGAAGACCAAAGGTTTTCAGAAAGTCTAAGTAAATTGTCAACCTCCTTATCTATTAATTCTTTACATGTCATGTAAAGAATTTTAAGAGAGTGGTGAGACATGATTTTCCTTTTGGAGGGTGGGGGAAGTCAGTAAGAACCTCCTATATCATCATTTCTGAGGTGCTTTACTGCTTATACCTAATTACTGTTTCAATCAATTTCTCAAATGTTCACGTAGAATTTATGGCTCTTTAAATTCTTGAATCACATCCAAATCCTTTTTAAATATAAGTAATAACATTTTCTACCCACAAATTGTTCTAAATTCTTTCTATTGTAACTCCTAGTTTGTACCACAAGCTCTTCTTCAGACATTGCAATTTCAGAGAACATAATCTTTATTACAAGTAATAACTACTAGTAAAAGCAATATAACTAAAAGCTCTCTCTTTTATACATAACAATTTCAAGACAGCTTGTAGGTAAATTTCCTTTTGATTAGTATTACAAATGCAATAGCACCTGGTTAGTGTAGGAGATGCAGGAAATAGCACAGACCGAAAGCCAGAACCATACAAAATAGGAGTCAAATCACCAAAGATCATCAATGAAAAAGAAGACGTTATTTCAGAGTCCTTCCTGTTTTAATAAACCAAGCTATTATTGGTGTCTCAGCTAAATGTTGTGCATATAGTATAATTCGAATATGTGTGTACATATAATTAAAATTTATGTTTCTTAACTTGGCAGAGTCCTTTCCATAGTGATTAAATTAACGTGGTTATTTCTGTTTACCAGCTCAGAGCAACAATCTCTCTATTTATCAAGGTCCTTAAACCACAGTGGTAGGATCTGAACAAGCACCCAGGCCGGTACCATGCCAGTATCTGTTTTCTATCGACATGCTGCCTCCAAAAGAATCACATTTTCGCAAATCCTACAAAATGGTGGGCTTTTGCAAGTTTTGATTCACCGAAATAGCAGCACATGCCTGTCTTTAAATATACCACATTTGGTTTACAACGCATTGGGAGCTAAGCAACTTTTCAGTGTCTCTTTGAAACATAAATTAAAAACAACCATCCCTTTTTCTATACAGTGAAACGTATTTGTTTTACAATGGATCATTTCCATCTCCACAGTAGCAGCTGCCACCCAAGCCATCATCTCTGTGCACTCGTAAGCAGCTCCATTTCCAG